CCTCATCCACACTCATCCACACACATACCACCACAGAATAACAAAATTATCTAGCCCTGATCCACAGTGTCACTGTTCAGTGTAGACCAAAAGAAACACTAAAGACTGAACGATAAACAAGTGGTGGTGCTCCCTTGCATATCATTTCAAATTATAGCATCACAAAGACAATGCATATGAAAGAAGTCACAGAAACTATTTAAAATCATTGTAGGGGACCAGAATTGTGGCCTTGTAGGAAACGTGGCTGTGTGTGATGCTGGCATGCCATATACAAATGCTAACCGAAGTCCTGCTTGCTCCACCTCTGACTGAGATCCCTACTAAAGGTCTAGGAAAAGCATTGGATGATGATTCAAGTGTTTGGACCTTTGGATCCACTGGGAAATCCATATGAAACTGATGGCTCCTGGTTTCAACCTGGCCCAGCACTGGCCATTGCAGCCAACTGGTGAATAAAGCAACAGATGGAAGCATTCTCTCTCTGTATCTCCGACTTTCAAAGTAAGTAAATCTTAAACGTTATATTGTAGAAAAAAATGTTTATTGATATGGGGAAAAAACTGGATAAAAAAACAATTTCGACTAACACAATATTACAGCATTAAAAAGGAAAGAGATGAGCACTAGTATTGTGGCATAGTGGATTAAGCTGCCACTTGCAATACCAGCAACCTATTTGATTGCCAGTTTGAATCCCATGTGCTCTGCTGCTGTTCTAGCTTCAAGTTAGCTGAACCAGGGACTAAATTCATTGTAGATGTTTTATTCTTTCTCCAGCAAGAACAGAAATTGTACCAAAGGGAACATAAAGAAAGAAATCCTCCACTCTTTTTGAGAATAAGATGTGAAACCCCCTAAATGGGAGAGTAGGGGCTCCAAGTTTGTGAGTGAAACTTAAGGAAAACAGGTATAAACTGAAGCCAGAACAGAGAAGTCCTGGCCCCTATAACCTTTTGTTTATCTATCTGACTGAGTTTTGAGAAGCCAGCAGTATCTCTAATTTTGAGAAACTAAAATTTAAGATTTTCTTCTGGTAAGCTAATCCATTATTCATGTGATTTACTTCGCTAAAACTCAACGCAGCTTCAGTTTGTGAAACCTCTGCAATCTCCTGCAGTTCGTAAACAAACGAAAGCTACCTTCATCAGCCACCCAAGTTCCTAATGAAGCTCTGGGGACCAGCTCTCCTATCCTGTCTTTGTCATCTCCTAGTACCCAGGAGGAATTTGCAAAAGGGCTGGTCTCAGGGGATTTAGGGCAGAGGGATTTCCCTGTTGGGGAAAATAAATATCCAACGCCATGGAAGGCTGCAGCTTAACACACTGCACCTTTCCTCTAGGCCACTTCCTGGGCCAAGGGGACACATGCACCCCAGCCTCAAGGAACATAGGAATAATTGGAGGATAAAGCTGATTACATAAAGCTGATTTTCCCTCACTTTGTAGGGTTTTTCTTCCCTTGTAAAGGTCTATTGAACACAAGAGGCGTTCAACAATGATTGGCTGTTGGCAGAAGTAAATGAACTGTGCATTTTTAAAATCCTACTGTTTCCCCTCTACGATTCTTTGTATTCGGTTAGTTATATTGAATCTCCAGTTGGTTGATATTGCGTTTCTTCATGCTAATCTTGCTTTGATGATGGATTCAAGCAGGACATGAAGTTTGACAGGAACATGATGATAATGATCTTCAATGAAGAGGATGAACTAGCAAGTAGGATGATGTAGGAGCTGGTAAGTCACAAGCAGGAAGATACTGCATCAATAGAAAGTAACTTTTCTAAGAATGAAAGCTAATCAAAATTAGAGTTAATGGTAGCACATCTCTATGGATCTACATAATGAGATAGAATGCACCACTGAAACTGAAAAAGGAGGTAGATCCATAGGACTATTTTCCAAAGTATTCAAGGGATAATAGCAAATCAACAAAGGCACTTGGGAAATGACATGTGCAGCCCAATTTTGTTTGTGTAAAATGAAAATGACGTTGAAATCTGCATGATTATACACAAAAAAAATTGAGGCAGAAATGAACAATAACACATGTGCTATGATTACCTTTAGTCCAGATAATGTAGAGGGGGGAAAAAAACTACCTTTTCCATTTATGCCTTTTGATATTAGTATAAATGGCTCTCTACCCCAAGAGCATAGTTATAATTTAAAATGCCTGGCTTTATTTTTTAAACTTATCTTACAAAAGTAAAAGATAATGAATACCCCATCATCGAAAGTATTGAAGCAGAATCCAGGGAACTATTTATGGGGAAGCTGTACTTCTAAAATTACCTTACATGTCTAGGGTACCATGATGCTATTACATTTAAAGTATTCAAAATTACCAAAAACATGAGCTTTTCTACTTTGTATCCAATTGGAAAGACTCGAATAATAAAATGAATAAGATTAACCTCCTGGCCGGAATTGGTTGTCACTTCCAGGCAGAAAATGATTTCTCTAGGAAGAAATTTGTTGAATACTTTCAGTGGAGGAGAAGTGTTTTTGGCTAACAGTCCAGAATCCAAGGGGGGGAGAGGATGTTGTGAAATGTTGCTTTTTTCAGTGACAAGGGTTCCACAGCAGCAAACTGACATTTTATTTCAGCTGTCATGATCCTATCAGGCTGGTGTTGTCACTCAGAGGGCTTTGCCATCTTGATGACTCATCATTCTCCCAAGAGGATGATGAGAAAGGAAATGAAATTGCAGGAACACAGCGGCTCGATTCAATTTCTTCCCTTCTATAACCTAACGTGTGATTTTTTTCCCATTCTGTTTTATGTGGGTGGGATTGGCTTTCTAGTTACATAAACATTTGAGTTTTGTCTTGTTCTGCAATACTTTTTGAATTCTAGTTACACAGGAGTGGATAGAAGTTATCTTAACCCCACACATCCAAGAAATTGTAACACATACATGGACAATTTAAAAAAATCGACGAAAAATTGAATTGAAAGATAAATTTATTTTGGTACAAAATGTTTTTTGATGTCTACGCATAGTTCTTGATAATACACATTTTCATAAATATTTTGTAGATCGTCATGTGACATTTTATACTTTCTCGGCATTTTGAAATCGTGCTTTTCTGCTCTTTTATTTAATAAGGAATTGCCAAAGTCTACTCTCAGTTTTTTTTTCTTACATCCCATTGTAGTATCATGGTATTTTGTATTCATTATTATTTTATAATGCTGTGTTCAAAACTTGTTCATTTCAATGGCTGATTTTTCTAGATGTTTCTTTACATTTTTCAGCTGAAAGAACTGCCTTCCTGCCACACTCTATTCCTAAGAGTACAAAAACTTTCATTTTTCTCAACTACCATCTTCAGAATCCGGATCTAGTCCCTGCAGACTACAGTTTGAGGAAAACGTCTCTTCGAAAACTGTAGGTCAGTACTATTTCTAATGTGAACCTTCTTGTCTTTGACGTGAATTAACTCACTGCCTTCAGGTTTTCTCCTCAGTCTTCTCTACAATCTCATGATAAACTTTCCTTCTGGAGAACCAGGTAATAATCTTGTTTTTGTCTATATAAGGGCATAATCAAGTATAAAATCTGAATTTTGTACATCTGACAAGCATCAAAAATGTAACTTTAGATTATCTTATGCTATCTAGAAAAAAAAGTTGTTAGTATTTTTGTATATTTAATTGTTAAATGTCATATGTATTCTTGAATATTTCTTCTTTTATCCTTCCTTTTTGTTTCAAAAAAATGGGCATCTATCTGTATAGCTCATAGTCTTATATACCACTTAATAAATTTGTAATGGCTGCATAATTATGATCAAATCCATACAGTTATTACTTTTTCATATTTAAAATTTAAAGTTATTCATAAGTGCTATACATTTTTTGTTAAATGCCATGTAGTGTTTCAATTCATGTAAACAGGATACGGTATCCAGTCAAGATAGACACACATATCTTTTCAGACATTTATGATATAACGACATCCAAAATCCTTTATTTTAGCTTTTCATAAAATTAAGAGTGCTTTATAATATTTTCCACAGTAACGAAGAGCAAAGTGGATGCAACTGGAGACAATTATGCTTAGTGAAATAAGCCAGTCCCCAGGACAAGTGTTATATGTTTTCTCTGATTCGTTTGTAGTAGCTGGTATAAGGAATATTTTTTAAAACACAATGTATGTGAGTGAAGCAGACATCTTGAGATTTGATTATGATTTATCACTCTTGTCTGTACTCTTGGGTAACTGTGGTCTTACTATTTACTACGTGTTGAGTCCTTTATTTATTGGCAGATTAAGCTTGCGACTCTAAAGTAAATTGAAAACATTCCATCAAGAAAATCAAAAGAAAAATATAAAACAAAAGAGGAGGGAGAGTGAACCGGAGAAGGAGGGAGTACCATTATGTTGTGAAATAGAAACAAATAACATTTTAAAATGTGTAGGGAAGAGTCGAATCCCAAGATATTGTGTGTAAGATATTTGTGAAAAAAGTTTGTGAAATGGCTAGACAAGCGGGACAGAAATAAACAGCGAGTTGTCGTAGTGGACGTCGTGTTGTTTGGTAATGCAGAGGGAAATCCTGCGAAGATTATCAAAACTGTGCTTTATAGAAAATGAAATCGGTGAGGCAAAAAAAATGTGAAACTAACGTATGAAAATTTCCTTTGAAATTTAACTGTGCATTTCATATTTCTTTCCCTTAGATTTTTTCCCTAATGCCTGTGTTCTAAAGCACAAGGAAATCTTTTCTAAGCATACGCCAGTTACCTCTCCTTCCATCCTACTCCATCCCTGTTGATTCTGCATCTTTTTACATAAGTTTTCATACATGAAGTTGTTTCCTGATTTGTTTTTCTGTCTTTTACCCATAGGGGAGCAGTTGTTCCTATTAACTCCATATCCATCCACGTGAAGAATTGTTATCACCTCCTTCTAGGGCTACCCTGCACAAAACATTGGCCACCGATGTGTTCTAATTAGCCTGTCTACATCTTTTTCATCTGGAATTTATGCGATGAAGAGAGAAAACCACACAGTAGTGAGTGCATTTGTTTTTCAGGGTTTTTCCAGTTTTCATGAACACAAACTTACTCTCTTCGTGGTATTTCTTACTTTGTATATTTTAACCCTGGCTGGCAATGTCATCATTGTGACGATTATCAGCATTGATCGTCACCTTCATACTCCTATGTACTTCTTCCTTACTGTTCTTTCCATTTCAGAGACTCTGTACACGTTGGTCATTGTACCACGAATGCTCTCCAGCCTGGTAGGTCTCAGCCAACCCATCTCCTTGGCAGGCTGCGCCACCCAGATGTTCTTGTTTATTACTCTTGCTATCAACAACTGCTTCCTGCTCACAGCAATGGGGTACGACCGCTATGTGGCCATCTGCAATCCTTTGAGGTATATGGTTATAATGAACCACAGGGTGTGTGCCCAGCTTACATCAAGTGCTTGCTGTATCGGGTTGCTTGTGGCCATAATACAGATTTCGTCTGTATTCAGGTCGCCATTTTGTGATAGAGAAATAACCCATTATTTTTGTGACATCCGCCCAGTTATGAAGCTTTCCTGTGCTGATACAACTGTACATGACATAATTAATTTTGTCATTAGTTCATTGGTAATTGTTGTGCCTATGGGCCTGGTTCTCATCTCCTACATCCTCATCGTCTCCACCATTCTGAAGATTGCTTCTGCGGAGGGTCGAAAGAAAGCTTTTGCAACTTGTGCTTCCCATCTCACTGTGGTCATTATCCACTACGGCTGTGCCTCCATTGCCTACCTTAAACCCAAGTCGGAGAACACCAGGGATCAGGACCAGCTGATTTCAGTAACATACACTGTGTTTACTCCGCTCCTTAATCCTGTTGTGTACACGTTGCGGAATAAGGAGGTCAAAGACGCCTTTCGTCGTGTTATTGGCAAGAAACCTCTTGCCTAGGAACTTCGGCAACTTGAAATACCATAGTTCTTCTTTATCAAAGTTTTCAGTTACCTCGCCAACTGCGGCCTGAAAATATAAAAGAAGTTCTAGAAAAAAATAATTTGAAAGTTTTAGATAGTATGTATACTGAAATCTAGTGCAGTACCACTCCATCCCACCTGGGATAGGAGTCATTTTTATTACCTGTCATATCTATATTGTGTATGTTTCCTGGAAATTAACACATACATTAGAATAATCTTTTAACCTAAAGCAAGAGCTCACACATTCATATAAATGTTATTATAGTACCTAGATACAATTGCTCAATTTCATTACTATTGCTGGATTTTCATAAACTAATCTATTTCACAGGCATATACATATATATGAAATATATACATATTTGATGTATTTCCTATATTTATATATACTCCTATTTATATATAGGAAATATATATGTATATATATATGTAGGAAATATGCTAAGTATGTTTTATATATGGGGTTGGTTACCATTTGTAGCTTCAGAATCCACTGGGGGTGTTGGAACTACCCTTAATAGATAGTCTATCATAGTTTGGGTACTTTTGTAAGCTAAACAGTTAATCCTATTCATCTGTGCCTGCAGACAACTGCAAAATTTGATTTCAAGTTTGCCTTAATAAATCAAGAGTCTCTCTCTGACTTGACTCTTATTTTTATTTTAATTTTATATATATTCTGATAATATCATATGTTATCCTCACATTGCCCTAAGGAGGAATGTTGTATGAATCTTAAGCAAGAGGGGAAGTGATTGGTACCAGTTTGTTGACAACAAAAATTTGGGAAACATGACACCTATTGGAAGTGATAGCTTAAAAAGTCAACTTAAATGCCAACTAGATATTAACTCTAAAACTTCAAAGAGGACACAGTTGTTGAATGGGATGTGTCAAAACTGCATTTGCTTTTTCCCTTTTGGCAGTGACAAGAGTAACAGACCCAGGCACTCCAGAAGTAATAGTGTCAGCTTTAAACTCGTCTGCCTTTGAGATTCATAAATATTTTTCTAATTTTGTTTTGGCTCACATTAGAATTATTCCCTAGACAAGCCTGGAAAAACCAGTATATTCAATAGAATCTTGATTTTTTTGCCTCTGATTTTATGCACTTACATCTACATATTTTCTTTTGGGGCAAAGCAGTTACTATCAGTTATTTTATACATAGTACATATATTCATAAGTATAGGAATATCCAGAGATCTTTTCTAAAATCAAATTTATTTTTTTTAAGTTTTTGTTTGTCTTTTATTTTATCTGAAAGGGGAAGAGCCTGGGTGGGAAGGAGTGGGGGAGGAACCTTCCATCCACTGCTTGGCCAGGGCAAGGACTCATCAAATATCTCCGGTTCATATGGGCTGATGTATACAAAATGAAAAATCAATAGTATCTCCCAACTATCATGAATATACCGTTATTAACAATAAAAATGCATGGAAAGTGCATGTTAGAGGAAAGACCTGGACTCCTTGGTGGAAGAAAGACCAAGAGAAATTGTCATGCTTAATAGAGTGAGAAAACAAGGTATGTCTTCTCATTACATCTATACCGAGAGAGCAACTGAAAACTTATGGTTGTCTTTTTCTGGGTTTCCCTGAGTCCTTTCTGGGAAGGCCAAAAATGAAACATTCCTATACCCTGCTCCTGAAAAATTCCTCCCTTTGAATCTCTTTTAGATGTCACTGAATAAAGTAGTTCCTTCCCAAACGCCTTTCCTGGTAGCTACAGCAAGTCTATAGAGTGCTAGCCTGGTGCTGAACTGGAGTGCACAGAACTGCCATAGGCCTTTCCACAACTCTACAGCTCTCCGTGAAATTGGACTCCAGTATTGAAAGCGGAATGAGCCCCCGAGTTTGTGTAATTTGACATTACTGAAAGCTATGATGCAATTCATCCAATATTTGCAATAATAAATCCAGTATATTGAAGACACATCTATCCCTATTGTTTTTTAATGTCATTTATATAATATTAATAGACAGAAAATAAAGTTGGTGTATTCAACTTTAGAGAGTATGTGATTGCCACTACTTACAAATCACGGCTAGAAAGATTGAAGCCCACACTTTGGGCTTAACCTCCATATCGCCATTTTTTCATGTGTCAGGGCCTGCCGTTCCAGTAGGCTGCTACTGTAACATGAGTTATCACACAGCTCCATTGGGGAAAACATAAGGTATCACAAGAGTATGCCCCATATCTCCCCCAACAAGGCATGATCTTGAATTAAAATGTCCTGCAAAGAAATCCTGCTCTTGCCTCAAGATAATCTTTGCCTCTTGCCCTACAGAACACCCCTACCTGTCCTTCTCACTGATTTCATATCTGCCCAGAATTCAGAAGTCCCAGAGGCAAGCTTCCTGCTTGCATGGATGTGGATTGAGGCCTAAGGGGAATCAGAGGCCTTGAAGGTGACCCCAGCATTCCCAACATACAATGTGAACTCTCCACCTTTGCCAAAATATAGAAGAAGCGTGTTCTGTTGGGTTGGAGTGCTTTAGAAGAGGCTGTTATGGCAGGTGAAGTCCATGAAGGCTTTCAAGCACACATTTAGAAGTTCTCTCGAGGCTTCTTTGCAAGGGAGCAGGGAGCAGGGACATAGAGTTAGGGGCTGATTCTTGAGAGAAGGTGAACAAGTTCCTTTATATGTCTGTAGAAAGAGACAAATGTGACAATCTTGCACTGTTCTTATTGTGAAATTTAGCTTGCCACCAGACACAGCCTATCTAACATATTTGTGCTTACTAGATAGATATCAATGCATTAGATCAGCAACTAAAGAAGCAAAATATTTGTGTTAAAGGAAAGGTTTTGATTTGTTCTGTTAGAAAAGGAGATTTGTGGCCAGCAGGGTGGCCCAGTAGGCTAATCCTCTGCCTATAGCGCTGGCATTCCAAATATGTGCTGCTTTGAGTCTCTGCTGCTCTGGATCTGATCCATCTCCCTACTTATGTAATGAGAAGAAGGATGGCCCAAGTCCTTGGACCCATGAACTTGATTGAGAGACTCAAAAGAAGCTGGCTTCAGACCAATGAATCTCTGGCTGTTGAAGCCATCTGGGGAGTGAACCAGTAGGTGGAAGATCTTTGTCTCTCCTTCTCTATGCAAATTTTCTTCTAAATAAAAGATGTCTTTATTTAAAAAAAAAAAAAAACAAGGGGTATTAATGATGTCTTATGTCCACCCCACTGCGACCTTCCTTGCAGATTGCAGCTGAACAGAGATGTGAGCACCAGCCACTGAAAATGAAATCTGCCTGGATTCATGGAGTGCACTGGGTAAAGTGTGTCACCCTTCACTCGTCCACGACTACTCAGGTGCTGGGATGACCTCCATCTGTCACTGTGATTGGGGTCAGATAGACTTTTCATAGTTTATCTTGAATTTTGGTTTTACTATGATGGGCCAACACACAGTCTGAGGAACACACGATATGCAAACCCCATGGTCCAGGACCTTGCAGCATCTTCAGCTTTCTCTCCATTCCCTAGGCCAGCTCGGGATCACTTTTCCACTGTGGCTGAAATACGAGGATCGCGGAGTTACTTAACATTGACTTATTTCCTCTTAAGATCCAAAAGAGGAGAGCTTCACAACAGTAAGTTCAACGATTTTTTTGTCATGCTTAGGAAAAACAAATACTATGATCTGGAAAAGAAATTAGAAAATAATGACTAACTGAATCAAGAAAGACATAGCCTGGAAGCAACATGAAATCTTGAATTGAGTTAGTTTTACCTCACAGTGGGAAATGGAAAAACAGCATGAAGTCCTATTTTCTTAGTTTCTTAAGAAATGCTCACCCTGAACCATAGGAAAAAAAGAATAGACCATTTAGAGAAAGGAAAGTAGAAGGTCACAGAAAGAAAAAGGGTGAGGAAAGAGGAGAGGGTCGAAGGAAGAGAGAGACAGAAAAGGGGAGTGGGAGATGGACAGGGACAGAAAATTTAGTCACTACAACAGAAGCTAGGAGGACAGGATTTACACCCCATGATCCAGTTATCTCCCTGCTTGTGATTTGCGACTCTGTCAGTATACAAACCTGAAAGCAAAATATCGTGGTTAGTAGGGGAATGAGATTTTGCATAATTTATTACTGATAGTAACACAATAGAGAAAAATTGATGTCTCAAATTTGATATGAGGTTCCCTAGCTGTAATACTAAAAAGAAAAAAAGAGTGCCACAATATTAAGTATTTTAACCACTAAAAAAACATTACTCTTCATAATATTTACACATCACAAAGCACAGCTGGCCTTCGTCTAATCTCTGGTCCTTAGGAGAGCTCTTGGCTAGACGGATGCCATTTTTATTCCCATTGTAGAGATGAAGGAATGAGACTCTGAGGTCATTAGGTTCACAAAAGTCAACCAATTATTTGGTAGAAAAAACTATCCTCTAACGTAAAGTCTAAACTACTTTTGAACTTCCATATTTCTCTTGATTACATGAAACCAAGTGCCTGAGAAAGAGCAGAGTGAGTAAAGACCAAATCCTGTATGCAGCTCCTTTTTTCAATCACACATCCATTTTATTCTCCCCAGAAAGGTACAGGCACTCTCAAGTAATGAACAAGGCCAGTTCTCCTCTCTCTAGCCCTGGGACTTCCTCGTAGCAGGCATGTCATTTTGCATCAACATCTGTGATGGTTTGAAACTTCAAAATATCATGGAGAAATGAAATAAAAGGTGAATTGACTTTGGAGCAAAAGTTTTCAAAATTCATGCACATTTTAATGAACTTTCTGGAAACTGCTTAAGTACATGTATTAAAAAATATTTTTGGGGCCCTGCGCGGTGGCGCAAGTGGTTAAAGGTCCTCGCCTTGCACGCCCGGGATCCCATATGGGCGCCGGTTCTAATCCCGGCAGCCCCGCTTCCCTTCCAGCTCCCTGCCTGTGGCCTGGGAAAGCAGCAGAGGACGGCCCAAAGCTTTGGGAACCTGCACCCGCGTGGGAGACCCGGAAGAG